TTTTATCCTCTTGTCCTCATCATCTGAGCATTTATTATGTGATTTTGATCAAATCTTACCTTTTGTTACCTAATTTTCTATTGCATGTTGCCGGACTATTGACAGTAAGGTCGTGTTTGACTAGGCTCTGGGTCACGGCGTGTTTCAGTGCATGACTGTTAACCTTTGACTGTCTGCTTGAGAAGATTGCTCGAATCCCTGCACATAGATATCTGATCACATCTTGTTGGGAATAGTTTTATTGATTCTAAGGTATTGAACGCTTTTGTATTAACTGTTTTTTTGTTTTTAGCACGTTACTTTTTGTGAGAGAAACTATTGACTGTATAATACAGGCTGTACCTTTTTAGGTATTTTGTAATTTTGATATCATTTGTTCTATTTCCTAAATTTAGCACAGAGTTTGTGTTTTGATATAATTTAATACGAATATCTCAGAAACGCTTCGTATGCTATACAGAAGAACGTAGTCTGATCTAGTCGAATGAATTTTGGTTTGTCAGTCATGCGTTCAAACCGAGTACTAGCAGTTTGGTCGTTACATAGCCATTATTCTCAGAGCGATTGGTAGATGATGAATCGAGGTGTGATATCTTCAGTTGGGAACTTTTATTCATGTTTTACACTACACTGTTTAAGACTCGTAGATTTTGTGAGATTTGTGTCGAAATCTAGTCTAATATTACGGGCTTGTCATTGTATAATTGCTCATAAAATCTCACCTCAATGTCTATAGTATCTAAGAGTATTTAATTTTATATGAACGTTTGAAGGACGGGTTTTGGCAGGTGATAGAATAATATGTCTCATATAAAAGTCATGGAGTAACATAGAGTGTACCCATGTTTACATTTGCTGACCTTCAATTTTTCATCGTTTTGTAGTAACTCACGTTTATCACGAGAACACGACTGGTTTAATAAAAACAATTATTATTATAACTAACTGTACCAGTGTTTGTTTTAATGTGCTTTTGTTTAACTGTGCTAATTATAGCCATTTTGTGCTTCCATTACCTTCCATCATTGTTCCGCGGTTTTTGGTACTGTTCGCACGTACTCCTGTCTTCTGCTTCCACTTGTACCATTCCTTGACACGACCTCGGTATTCGTTCAATACCACGAGATTACTAACGAAATAAACCTGGTTACGTTCGATCTTCGCCTTCTGATTTACTTGGCACGTGTTTCTTGGTAGCGGTGTTCATAGTTAATCCCAACTCGACGCCACGCTACAGTTTAATGTAAGTCTCATCACTTATCGTATGGTCAGCACTAAGGATCATACAGTTGGTATCTGCTCTCATCGCAAGCCCGCTCTCTTCACTGACCGCAAACCTCTTACCATGTCGCCATTGCTAACATTAATGAGTTTAACTGTCATGTAAGTGTAGTAGGTCAACTTTGGCCTGTTCATGCTGTGCATAGTTGATCTACGCTATTATTGGTCGGAATACTTATACATGTAATCTGAATGTGTATGTAAGTGGTGCAAATTGGGCACCAGGTTGCTTGGTATCTATGTGGTTGCTTCACAGGATTGAGCTGTCTTATACAGATTGTGGCGTTAAAGCTTATATGGTGTCTAGTTCTCCTGTGAAGTGGGATTGAGCTGTATTGCTATGGTTATAAAGTTTAATCCAGGATGGTGTCTGGTTCTCCTGTTAGACGGGTTTGAGCTGTATTTTCAGGGTTGATACGTGAAAGTCTGGATGGTGTCTGGTTCTCTTGATAAGTGCCCTGACCCACAGGGGTATATTTTGCGAATAATATAATGTGACAAATGTACGGCATGGATCACTTAGTTATGGGCACGCCCCTATTTAAGCAGCCAGAGATCTAAAATGACAAGACCCAACAAATACCTCTTAGGATACTTCTCAACTCCTGACGTTTGTTTCTATCATATTCATCTTGATTTGATACGGCAGAGATTCAAGGGAATATTCTTATATCTCAAAGTTTCTGGACCATGGCACCGTTTCACATTAGTGGGTTATGACATGTACTTATATCTTCACTTTTATTCTCCTGGACGACTGGGAAAACGAAAAACCGACGATAAAAACAATTATTCGTGGTTTTCATCGTACATTCTTATTGTAATATCGTACCACATGACTTCTTAAATCAGGGAAAGACTACCAAATGCTGCTTAACATAACAAGCTATTGAAAGAGTGTTTACTAATGTCAGACGCTTTATGTTTTAAGATTTTGGCTGGTAACGTGGGGTGTAGTAGTGAACAAATCCCAAGATTTATAGTTCTGTAGGTTTCCGATGTTGATGGCCAAGTCCTTATTTTTACTGGACATACCCTATCTCAGTAGTTATTCCACAGCAGATCACCATGAGCCACATAAAGTCATACATTTGTGTGGTATTTTAAAGTGTTTGAATTATTATTCGAACTAGGAACCCTCGAAATAGCGCATTTTAGATCAAACACAACTAGGTGGGCACAAACGAACGTATTGTATTGAGAATTCAAAACTAGGGGCATATCAAGTACAAATGAATTATTAGTTTATAAAAACGCAACAAATGACACAACCACCATATCTTAAATTGGAATCTAAGTTACTGTACTCGATTGTGCGTGAAGATGGCACAGGTATTCAATGTTTGACAACGCTTTAACCAGTAACACCTAATATGAAACGTACCCACCAAGAGAAATTAAAAGACAGAATCGAGGAGATTGGAAGATATATTTGATGTGATATCAATATGTCGAGGATCGTCTGATCTAATCTGGCTAGCGATTGCAGTAAATGTTGAGCACGGCGTTCCCACACATGATTTGGTGCGGACGCATGACCGAGCGCCTTCAGCTAGGTGAGTCCATTAAAACACGTTGTCACCATCCAATGTCGAAAACTTACAGGGCTATTTATTTTGGGGATTTAATTATCGCTACATACGATTTCTCCTTAGGTTCATTGTATATCTGTCAGACTGTACACTGGATAGAGACAGTATATTATCTTGAATATACTCGTTAATATTAGAATTAAAAATTGAAATCTGAAAAGACTTAACTGGTTCCTTCACTTGTATCTGATCAACACGTCAGCTATGTGCACTTGAATAATTGATACCTAGAGTTTGTACCGTAGATTTCTTGACATTCTTTACCACAATCCTCTTGACTACTTGAAGATCATTTTCACGACAGTACGCAACGTTTATAGACTTTAATCACTACATATTCGAGCGAAGAATCCTACTTTTTAATAGCTATGATGGATTCTCTTTCTTTAATGAATGTTTGGCATTTCTACATCACAATAGAAATGTAGCTAGTTTCCTCTTCAGTTCATCCTTGAATGGCCAATTTGTGTCCAGTAATCCTCAATACCAAGAGGTCAGCAGAGGTGCCCCACAACGCTAGAATTTAAGGATATCTAGCTCTTGAATACGATAATGAACACTATACTGTATCTGTCTACAATAAAGTCATGAAACAAACCAAGGGATGAATTTAAACGCTTTTGAATATGAACATAATTTTTGGAATGGTGGATAAAGATAAATGATCGTTGTAAACACCCTAAATAATGGGATCTAAACTAAACTGTTTAGTACTACTTGAAGCAATATGAACAGTAGCTTCGTTTGCTGACTGAATCCGTCCTACTTTCATATTTAAAACATTTAGCAATAAGAAATGGAGATGAATTACGAAAACGAAATTTGCCAGAGGATAAACATTTACCAAACTTGCCCTCACCTTTGTGGTTTGCTTTGCGATTTCTTGTTGATAATCATTAAACAAACGCGAGCTTGATTGACCTTGAGATTGTATTTCATCATGGAGACTAAGCAAAGTGTAAGAACGTTTCGCCGGCTGGATATCAAGATCATTTATTGCTTCGTAATTGATAAGTGTATTTCTGGCATCTTGTAGAGAATAGTTAGGCATTTTAACAGTTACCTTTTCATATCTGGTATGTCAATTCTTGAAATTAGTCGATCTCGCAGCTGCACATAAAGCTGATCACCAAAATTACATTTGGCAGCTTGTTCCGCAATTCAAGGATGAATTCACTAATCTTTTGGTTATTCTGACTAATCATCTCATGAAATTCTGCTCTCTCACGACATTAAAAACTAGTGTACTTTACGCGATTTAATAATAGGTTCTTAACAGTTGCATGGGGATGTGAAATAGGCTTTTGTGGAAATGCCAAAGTTTTCATTAAACTGTAGGATTCTTTTCAATGAATGCATGGAAATGTGCCACAAGTTTATCATCTTTCACACCTTTCCTGGCGATGCTCCTGATTTCGAACGTTTCCATATAGTTGTTAAACACTTCAGAATTTTAATTCCTGCTCAACTGTTCCATATAAGGTCTAATCCCAATGTGATGCTTGGATGTATTTTAATTACTATATAAACCAGTGGATCTCGAGATAGTGTAACTTACAGTAAATAGGTCTATGTGGATGCAAAGGAATGAATTGTGTTAGAATACGAAATAAGATGAACGTCAAGTATCATTACTTCGTGCAAACACCTCATTCTGTCTCAAAGGTTAGTCAGTCTAGATCATATACTTGTCAACGCACCGACTATCTACCAAACATAACCCTGAACTTCATTCCTGGCTTCTTGTTCGACTGAGACTAGTTATAAAGCTGTTATCAACAAAGGAATTTTTAAGCCCTGTATAGTTGTGACATCTTCTGATGCATAGCTGGGATCATTTACCCTAGGATACTTCGATAAATCGAGAACGAACTGGATGAATAATATAGTTATTTATTTTGGTGATTTCCTCAGCTTTACAAATCTTATGCAGTTATCAAAGATCTGACGCCTTCATCAAGGTATAATATGAAACAGTTGACGCAATCCTCAGGTCTTGTCACCCTAATTCAAGAATAAAAAATTGAGATTGCCTATTGAAACTTTTCGGATTTACTTTAGAATGTTAGATTTTAAAGGTTATTTTTTACCCGCGTATTTTCAATAACATAGAAACGTGTAAACACTATGAGTTTAAGTCTTAAAGGTTCCCAAATAAGTCCATGCAAGTCAGCAGTTAGCAGTAGTCGTTCGACCACAAGAATATATAACGTAATTTGTACAATGTTTCGCGTTTAACTTAACCAGGCTTTGGTTTTGAATAATTATACTCTAAAATTCATAACATGTCAGAAGATCTTTCATTTGCAGCTTTTCTCAAAATATGTTTTTTCATATAATAACAAGCAAAAAAGTAAGAGGCAAACGTCTCAGGGCACCCGGAGAAACTTTACAGATACAGCTGAATATGCCACATTAATTTACTGTGAATGTATTGAATTCTATTTGATTCTTGAACAATATGTTCGAAATAAAGTGTCTTCTTGAAGTTCAAACAATGTGTTAAGAAGTTGGTCTTTAGGACTAACAGTTAGCGCCTCAATAATTAACTATTTATATCCGACTATTTTGTTCTCGAATTTAGGATGTTTAAATTAAGGCTTTAATGCAAGATTTCAGTCTAAACTGTCAATTTAAGATTTGCCTTTAGTCGCTTTTTTCTAGATGAATGAACGCACAGCGTTGTTACCATCGTAATTGCGGGAGTTTGTGCTGACAATAAAATTTGCTGAGTGAGCTATTTTACAGCAACACGTTTTTTGTGAAGAAAAGAATAATCATATTTATCACTTGAGCCTTGCCTTTTGTCGTTTCCTTAATCGACCACAGCAACTTGTCTAAATAACTTTGGTGTATGATAGCTGACACGATAAATTTTGATTCCACTTTCCAGGTAGACTAATGATGAAGGCATACTTTACGTTTGATTTTTAAACTTTGCAGTATGTAATAGTTCAGGTGTTCATAAACGAAAATATTTCGGTTAAGTTTCTTTACTGGTTAGCCTAATGAATTTACCATGTGCAGCAATATCATGCAATCAGCCACAAGTTTTTTTTATAATCTGTTTTATGCTATGAAACACAAGCTAGTTGTTTCCAAACTCATTTCATACATCGATTTTATCAAGGTCTTGGAAAAAATCGTTGCATTCCAGAAATGGTTGTAAAGCATTAAAATTTGTGAATTAGCAAGCATAACAGATATATATCTTAATAAGCCACTGTTTACGATTTGTAACTAAAATCTTCAAGTATCAGTTTGATAAATTGAATAAATGACTACATCAGAACAATTCTAGGTATGTTTCAATGGCAAAAGCAAAGGGTTGTAAGTACATAATAAAAGTCATAAAAACTCATAACAATTAGCACTATAATTTGCTGTACATAAAACATGTGAGTCAAACAGGAATTCGTCTCCCGCTATAATTTTCGTACTGACTTCTTCATATGAGAAGTTCATATCATTTCGAGTTGCTAAGTAAATGTAAAGTCGTAAGAATTGCTGCTACAAACAACTCATAAAATAAGCATAATTTATACTCGCTCTTCAACACGTTTTAATTACGACTCTCATTTACTTTGAAACTCTGTTGTGTTATTGACCTTTGATTACTTTCATTAAACCTGACTTCAATAACTGGTAGAAGTTCTCCATTTTTCTTTTTACGTATGACTTTAGTAATATCATCAAGGAAGCACATAGTAGTCTATGTACATTTTCACATCTCAATTTTTCTTTAACAATAGCTGAATACTTGACAATATTTTATCACACTTCAAAACGTCTATTCTTCTAATAAATTTACTCAAATCATCCAACATCTTAGCTACCTCATAATTATCTGCATATACTCCTGTATTTTCAGTATGTGTTGTTTACTTGTTTGATGACTGAAAATTGCCTGTACTTTTTCAAACATTCTTAACTGAAATTTATCGGTCATGATTCACAGTGTCTATTTTTATCTGAAGTCAGCTACGATGATGTTATTTGGGATAAAAATAAATATCACATTTTTGAACCAATGACCTAACAGAATGGAACAAAATACAAAGTATTCTGTTTTTAGCTGTACGGTTTTACAAAATTATTGTAAAGTACTGTAAGTTAACATGTTTTTTATAATACCATTGAGATGGGATAACCTTTGAATTTTTGTTTATTTTCCCACTTAATCGTCACTGTTTATTTTGTAGCAAATCTTAAATCCTAATTATTATATTTTTTCACGTCAAAAGATGTGACAACTAAGGTTGCTTAGCCTATAAACCATGCCCCTTTTATCTCATAAATATATCGCATATTTAAAACGTAATGCTAGATTTTTAAAGAGGGTGATGTAAAACGTGCATTCAAATCCATGAAAAACATGAGTTTTCACCTCTGAGCAGCAGGTTTGTAACCAAGATCACCTTAGTTCCTGTTCAAGTGAACTATATGTTTCAACGAACTAAAAATACATGAAGTGTGAGAAGTCCGAATGAAGTATGACGTAGAATGTTATACATAAAACTATAACTGGTGACTGTCCTATGCACACAAACATCTATATTTGAATATTATTTCAATAAATAATAAGTTTAAAATTTTTACTTTAGGACAACTCTCGAACAAGAAATGTGAGAGAGATTATTAGAAGCAATAAAAATCCTTTTCGAGGCCCAGAAGTTTCTTCTAGTGCTTCAGAACCATTGGTTGAACAGAAGTTGGAATCCCCTGACAATTTAATTACTAACGACGATGAAAACCTGCTCATCGATTTTAATAACACAATTCACACCGATTCATTAACATTTAGGAGAGACAAATGTAGTTCGTGGTCGAGTAACTCAAATGATAAAAGTGTTTCAAGATGGCTTGAAACACATTTTCATGACCAAAACGATAGTGATTTCATATGGGACGGTCAACATGACGTAAGTGGAAATCTATCTATCTGAACTAAAAATATTTTCAGTATATGGTTGTATAGACTGTTGAGTTTTTACTGGGGTCATGAACCGATCGGTGTTGGACCATCATTAAAAACCCAGAAGCACTAGAAGGCTGTTTTGTCAACGCAGTTTAATTTCATTTTGCATTTGATTGCTTATACAAAGACGTTATAATAACTGAGGTCTTCTGCTTGATCTAAGCAAATTACTGCCTCACTCAAAGAGCCTAATTTATCGTAAAATAATGTTGGGTTAGATTTATCAACGATTTTGGATTTTGGTTCCTATTTCACAATATTTTTGTTGTCAGTGAAAGTTTGACTGAACTATGGCCACTCATAAATGCCAAAGAGGTGATATTTTAAAATAAAAACGTGCATAGATTTTAGGCTTCTTGTACGTTTTGATAAGTATAATTTCTTGAGACGTTGACAAAGTCACTACACTACTCTGTGCACACAACTGAATGTTGACAAACGATAATTTTTGTGTATACTGTGAACCACTTCGTCACACACATCCAACAAACTTGGTAAATTTTCCAAAAAACTAATATAAAAAATATTGCTCTTGGGAGGTAATTTTATGAAAGGCATCGTTTTATGAGCTTCCAAAAATATGTATCTTTATGAAAAGTTCTATCTGATTTCTAGTTATAACTCTAGTATAGCCACAGCCTTTAAATTTTTTTGTAAGCAGTAAGTTTTGACACTTTTGGTGATGACATGCAAAACTGTAAATGGAAATTATTAAAACGGACCTGATACTTTACTTTGCCGTTGATTAATAAGCGTTCTGGCCCTGTTATACTGCAAATTAAAAATCTCTACAATATATATTCGTTCATAACCTCAATGTGAATCTAATGTATAAGGAAAGAACTTAATAGTTCTATTCAAAAACGGAGAAATAAGTGCTTTGAGTAAAGGTTGAAAAAATATGTAAATAGCTTAATTTCTTCCCAGAAGAACAAGTGAAAGACCAAAACTCATTTATATTGTATAAAACATTTTTAAGTACTACATGACAACCTTACAGTTTTCACAAAACAAAGAGCAACCGAATTAAAGTGGTAGAAATGGTAATTAACCTAACTGTTACACCATATTAACGTGTTATGTCCTTATGATTTCATAGTGTTAATCTTATATTTATCCATACAGTTATGTTTTTCGGTAGCAAAACTTTTTGAACACAGCTTGATTGCTGTTAAACAGTAAGATATTTGTTTCCTTGATTTCAGAAGTGTTGAATACTAAAAGATAAAGTATTTCTTGTCAAAGTCCGTCGTGATTCAAAGGCTTTTTCTCACTATATTAATTGACATGATTCATAGTTACTTATTTCATTATTCCCAATGTTTTTTGAAGACAAAAAGTTCGTATTATCTCTTGCAAAGTACTTTTAATAAAAACTTTAATCGGACAATCATATTCCTTAAATTTACGAGATGGAGAAATTAGATTTGTATCTTTCTTCAAATGTCTAGAATTCTGTATTCCTATAAACCAATCGATATCTTGACTGTTATAAATCCGGGAAACTTCATTGCTCATGCTGCAAGATTTTATATCTCTCTCAAGGCTTTTCGGGACATTAAGTGTTGATGTCACTTTTGAGAGACTCTAGATTATGGTGATTTATCAAATAGAATATTTAATCAAATCTTAATTTTAAATTAAGAAGCCAAGTAAATTTTTCCGTTTATAATCCGTGAACACTTTAGAAGATAAGAATTTCAGTCGTTAAAATAATAATTATTTATTTCATTAAATTTCTTAATTCGGGTCGTCTAGAAATCCATTTTTCAAATAATTTGTTTACTATACGCTCAGTAAACGTGTATGAATTCTTTAAAAAAATAAGCAATATAGATATAGGTATTTGTGTTTTTAACTATTTGTAAAGATGAAGGAATATAGAATTTGTGAATGCTCATATTTATCATGAATTTCACGATTTTACTCAAAATAACAGTTGAAACATGATAAAAAGTATCAGGGTAGTCTTGACTGTTTTTCCATAAGATAAATATATTTCTTACTGTTAATCTGTCAAGGTCTCAAAAACCGAATACGTGTGTGATAAAATGATATTAAAGTGACTCTTTTTTGTAAGATTTTTCATCTTTCCTAGTTAAATGTTGAAGCTAATACTAATATTTAATAAATAATGCTTCAAATAACATCTAGCAATGGTGCCTTTTCACAACGGAGGAGGGGTTAGATAAGGTCGATTCTAGAAATGTCACACCTCACCTTACCCCACGGATTTCCGTCTCCGGCAGTGAGGCTATTAGAAGTGTGGAGCTAACTCGCCACTAATTCAGCGTTTCCAAAATGCGGATACAGGTTCCCCGTACAGTGCTGTAACGGTAGGATTGCTCGTCTACACGGATGGGACGTTAATTTGCCTTAGACGAATATCTACACTAGATTCCCTTTCAGCGTCTGTTTTATAGGACTTTAACACAACTCAAACCAAGAACACGCGATAAGCTTGACTAGAACGCGAATATATTTCCATGCCAAAAACCGACAGCAATCTTTCATCAATCACAGTAATAATAAGGGTAACAGAATATATAACTCATCTAGTACCTGTCAGACTATCTACTAGTCTGACTAAGCAAACAACCAGTCATTATCATCCTCGCCCACACATCATATGGTCATTCATTTGACCTCACCTTGCCAATATAAAGGACTGGCATGACTTACTCTTCGAGTATCTGGAGACCCCAATGCTACTTCCCATGGCTTCGTAGGTGTAGATATGGCATTAAGTTCAAAAGCGGAACACGTTAAATGTAGGCCGATAAAAAACCTACGTAATGATCGTTAGCAGTGGTGAGTAGCGAATGCAGAAGAGATGGAAAAGTCAGCAGTGATAGGTAAAAGTAGACAACTGTTCAGAATTATGAAGGAAACGAGTATTTAGATGTGGTTGTTGGTGAAACTGTCTTGGAAAATATGGGACTATTATTCACTCTCAATCCAGGAGCTTGAACTGATGGTCGGAACTCTTTACGGAATAGTTTAACTGGCCTTCAACCACATCTCAGTTACTTCAGGATCGACTTGCGTCATCGTCTGAATGAGTGATAGAGACTGAAGTAGTTGAACACGTAAACCGCTTCACTTATCTTGGGAGTTTCATGAGTACTGATGGTCTGGTGTCTGACAAAATCTCGACATGGAGTAAGAAGGCTCGATTGGTTTTCTCCGACTTGCATCACATGTGGCGTAGGTGAGAGATCCGTCTTTCAAAAAGAGGGGAAGTTTACTGCGCAGCAGTTTGCTCTGTTCTACTTAATGGATGTGAAACATAGCCATTAATATTAGAGGATATTCGTTGGTTACTGGTGTTCAATCGTAGGTGCCTACGAGGCATTGGCGGAGTATTTTGGGACCACGGAGTAAGCAATGCCTGCGTTAGGAATACAGTACTAGTTAAAGATGAGAAATCGATTGATGAGGCAGTAAATCTTTATCAACTGAGGTGGTTGGGATGTGTCACGTATGCCCAACCACCTCTTACCTCGACAGGCGATATTTTCGATTGTAGGAGCATGCTGGAAGAAAGCTAGGGGCCACCAAACCAAAATCTGGTGTAACCACTGATACTGTTACTACCTCTACTATTCTGGGATTCGTCCTGACAGTCATAACTCCGTGTGCTAATGGGGTATGGCAACTTGAACCCGTGTAAATACGTACAAGTTCCACCTAGTGACTTGCTGATTATGTTTTACAAGATGGTAGGAGACATCTATTTAACAGTAATCTGTTCCCAATATATATGGTACAGTTGAAGCATTGTGTATAATTGAATTATTTTGATTGTGTAATGGTGAAGATTATCACATCATTCAAAACTTACAGCTTATTATTATTTACATTTTTATTTCATAAACTAATAATTGCCACATTAATACATTTGTGACTAAATATCTGTAAGTATTCCCAATTCGTATGGTTTTGAAATGACATTCATCATGATACGTTGACCCGTTCTTGCTTGTTAAAAATAATGATAATTATATTCACCTTATCACATACCATAAGTTTGGTCACAGTTAAGAATTCTTAGCTTATTGCGTGCAGTACTGCAACATAGTCTTCGCCTGTATTTGTTTAACTCGCAAATATTCGAGTAAATATGCAAAAGACATTTTCAACGGTTGTCATCCTTCGATCGTATTTATCCACGAACTTTATGATCAGTTTAGGTCTTATGGAATTTTTTCATCGCATTCTAGATTTGGCAGATGAGTTCCAATGTATTCGGGCCTCGTCCCTACAAAGTACAGGCAGTTAAAAAGTACCAACCACCGTGATGGTTTCGCCTGAATTCCACTGCATTTAGCTTCATGATAGGTTGTAAGCTTTTTACAGGAGCGATTAGTTCCATTGGGTAGTTAAAATACATGCTGGAAGAAAGCTAGGGGCCACCAAACCAAAACGTGACGTAATCTTTCCTATAATCACTGATAATATTACTACTGTGGTGTGTGCTACTTATGTCGACGAATATAAGTAATATGTATCATCAATTGAAAATGAAATGCCTAGCGGCATAAGGTTAAGAATTTCAAAAAGAGAAGAAGATGTGAACATAGAATGATTGGTGTGGAAACGAAGTAACAACCATGTCTGGGATAATTGATTGACATTTTGCAAATGAAGTATTTACTGTGTGGTTCACAGATTTGATTAAGAAATTCTGTAGTTGTCCGTCTAAATGCATTTGGTTGTCCTCACTGTTGTTCTCGTTCACTCCACTACCTTTACTATTCTGCGATTTGCCCTGACAGTTATAACTCCGTGTGCTAATGGAGTGGGGCAGTTTGAACATGTGTGAATAAGTACGGCTTCGACGTTGTGACCGACCGACTCAACGGAAAATTTACATGTACTCTTTATGCTGAGTATTATAAAAGATTTTTTATGTCATGATATTCTCGAGTACTTAATAACCTTCTTTGTTTGATTATCAATTACTTTGTTAGAATGACATATTGACACCATGCTCAGACAAAAAAGGTGAGGACTTCAAATGTGGACAAAATTTGGACACGATAGGGGATAGTTTAGACTTGAATATAAATCCAAGATTAGGAAATATCTGTATGGATTTGAACGAAGTTTCAGGTGATGATGGTGATTTACAATACACAGATATCAATGAGAAAACAGATACTCCACCTCCATGTTTAGTCAGACCTTCATCTAATTCAATCAACACTGCACGCCAGATAAGTGGTTTCAATGATGAATGTAAGTTTAGACAGATGATCTTTTTCGAAAATGAATGTATTAATATTTTGTCATGTGATTATATATTTTATTGACTTTTAGAGACTTTTGTTTAATCCCTTAATTATTTAAGGATTTTCTCTTTAGTTGAAGTTTAGTTTAAAATTAGGTTGTTAATTCACGTATTTTGTCTCTAGTTGCTCAAAATGAAAGCCTTTTCGTTTAGTTTTCAAATTTATTTAATAGATTTCTGCGTTTATCTCCCGTGTTATTTTACGCAGTAGTTCGAACTTGGTATTTCAAAAAAATTTAAGTTTTCAGAATAACAATGTAATTTTGTTTAGTATTTTGTATTGCAATTAATGAACAGCTGAAAATTTTATCTAAAATTATCCTGCAATACTAAATGCTTCAAAAGAAAAAAAAGCTTATACCAACATAGAAAGCTGAAGAATTTGTACTTTCATGCCAGTGAATAATTACAAAATAGCCTGTGATAACAAGGAAAGTTCAGTGTTAACTCTGGGATGTCGTTTGTAGGCTGAGTTGTTTAGTATATTCGTTATCGATCTGAAATACATACTCCGATCCTTTTGTAGTATTAGTGTAGTGAACAAGAACACCAGTGGGGACAATCGAGTGTATCTGACACAGCATTACAGGACTTGTTAATAAAATCTAACAATCATAAAGTAAATGCTTAATTTGCAAAATGTCTCAAAATCACTCAGACTTCATTGCTCTAGCATTTTCATACAAATTACAACCTGTTTCTGTTCTTTACTATTCGATCCTCTTGTTTCTCTGCTGCCAGACCTTCTGTTCACGACTAACATCATATACTACTTATGTCAATATAAGTAGCACACATCACATTAGTTTCTGCTAAAATAATTGGAAGATGTGAAGTTGATCTTTCGAACTCAGTAGTAACTAAAAAAACGTTTACATTCAGAAAGCTTATTACTATAAAACTGATCTGTTGAAGGGATTAATGGTCACCGGTATACTTTTGAATGATATCTTAATCGTCTCTAGTAAAATTTGATGAAATTTATGAAGGAAATAAAAATTTATTGTCACTGACACATTTGTTTTCGACAATCTAATGATAGACAGCTAGATCCTGGTTTAAAACTTTCTCATTATTCGACCATTAGCCTTATATAGAAAATATTTAGTTGTTTCAGATAGGACTTTGTGTTTCACCTACATTTATTTTCTAGTAAAACTGATAACCTCAACTTCGTATGATGACAATCGACGTAATTCCGCAGCGACTGTTATACAAAAATTTTGGAGACTTCATAGGAAAAGATATTTAGCAGCGGAAGCCGTAATGTATCGTCTGCTTGACAATCAAAAACGCAGATTAAGTAAACAGAACATGAATAATGGACGACCCATTCATTCAGTTCTACAAAGTCGTCAAAATGAGTTAAAACGGAAAAGGAAACAACAACACCAAAATGCTATTAAAGTTGGTTTACTTTAGTTAAAAGCAATGTTTTGATTGTTAAAATGTTGATTTTACCATTTACGTACAGGGACATATCTGCTTTTATCCGTTAATAACTGCTGGTTTAGAAATATCAAAATATTCATTTGACCAAACCTGAAATGAAATTAGATTCGAGTTTCTTCTACACTCGAATACGTCAATTGTAATTTATCATAGGTCTACAGGAAATAGTCACACACAAGTTCAATAAATAAGTAACTAAGACTTCTGAATTTAAAAATGGAAGACGTTTCACAATAAGTGGTGTTCTTTTCGAAAGTGTTTGATCGGTCAGATAATTATGACAATAAAATATTTATGACCAATTTTACAATATATGTAATACGTGCGTGAAATCAATGTGACACCACTCAGTTCGTTTTGAAAGACAGAAACTTTATTAAAAGTAAATACAAGTACCATTTTAGAGTAATCATCAAAATAATTCATTTACGTTCTATGGATTTGTTAAGATTCATTAGTGTTTTACACTGTGTCATTTTGCGTCATTCGATTTTGTAGTCCCAAAACAATTCTCGGTGGATAAAATTTTAAACGTCATATCTTTCTTATAAACCATATTTTAATAGAAGTTTTAGGAACATAAATTTTTATTTCAATGCTTTGTCAGTGGTAACATGTTAAATATATATGGATTCAACCAAAATAAAGCGAACAACGAACATATAGTATGAACTAAATAATTGCCTACTTATTTGACTTTTTATATTTTACAGTTTATATGCTCGTCATTTTCCCCAATGACTATTTACTTTAGGCTTTATCAAATGTCTTATTCAGAAAGAGCAGTTAATTATTCATAAATTACTTCAAGCGGTTTTATCCATGTTTACTAGGTCTAAATCTTACTTAACAAATCTTTGTCATATTGCAACACTCACCACTTACAGAACAAACTTTTGAATATTCACGAAAACAAATACAAATAGCACAATGTTAATGAATAATAAGTTTACTGGATTGCATTAAAAGAATGGTTTAATTGTCCAAAATAACTAAAAAAAAATACATATTTTTATCGTCTCAAGTAATCGCAGTTGATAATCAATTAAATCTAATGAAACGGTTGGAAAAACGTTTAAATAATAGAAAACATTTTAGCTAGTTATTTGAATTGTGAATGATGCTTATTAATTGAGATCACGAACATGAGTTCGAATCCCGCATGCAGGATCGTGGATGAGCACTTCTGAGGAGTCCTAAACTTGGACGAAACGGCCTTACAGCGCTCACAAGCTTTCAGTGATGGTCTAACATTATCGGTTTATAATCTTCGTAAAAGCTCAACAATCTCCACAACCCTACATTGATAATGTTTTTGTTACTTTCCAGTCTTTGGTTAATAATTATTCTTTAATTTAGAGTTTTAAAGTGCTAGAATAAAACAAGTTATGGTATTGAACTATTCGTTTATATGATCGATGATTGGTAATTTTCTTTTTAAACCACACTTTGGTAAACTCATTCATTATTAATCTTAAGATTTTGCAGGAGAATCGATCCTCTAAAAGTTCGCAAAGTCAAGAAACTTTAGAGGATAAGGCAGAAGTAAATGATATGTCTGAATCAATTCTTGTATCTGGTAACCGAAAAGACCGTACAAATGAAGACAAATCAAACATTGTGAATAAGCCTATATCTACTACCAATGCTAATCAATGTAAAACTTACAGCTCTGATATTCATATTACCACGGTGAGTCAATAATTAATGTAAACTCCGTGATTTACTTAAACTTTCATTTTTTCATCTGAGAGAATTTAAAAATTCTTGTTTTACATCATAATTTGATGACACTTGTGACTACTATAATTTGGTAGTTATCCTCATATTATACATAACTCCTACCATTGATTTTTGTCTGATCCTTTTTTATTTGTTAGGTCTGTATCATTTAAGAAGCACAGATAATATTCTCTATTTGAACATAATGTCTTATTTAGCAGAATATCAGGTCATTAATTAATATGTTAGTGATTTAAATACAGGCTCAAATCGATTTCTGAACGTAGGTAGTATTACGTAGTGTGATATCAAACGGATTTTCAAGCATATGAACTGCTATTTAACTGGTTTCTACACCTATACCAAATTAATATTACTTGAGAGAAGACAGATTGATCAATTTGTAATACCGAATTCTTGCGTTTGTATGGTGTATAATATTTATACACTCACATTCACTTCAGTCTGGTCATTTTTAGTTCAGTAAATGACGAATATTCGGTAAAGTTTAGGATTTTCATTATCAATGAACACGGTTGTACAGCCATCTCAGAATACAGTCCTAAACTGTGTCAGAACTAAGATGCTAGGATAACAATCAGTCAACTGACTTTTCGAAACAAGACTGATTAAATACGAAACGTCAGAAAATTTAATATTTCTACTCTTTGGGATATTACAAATATATTAATTTATCTATAACAATCTACTCAAGGCTCAATTTATTCGAAATTATTAAGTCAAACCTTGGTAATGATACCTAAAAAGACTGATTAGAGTAACCAGATAGTGCAAAAACTGAATGCCAGATGGTATACGTTTTCGAAACCAAACACAGGCCTCCCATTATTAATGCATGAAGATACTATTCTTATTTCCTAATTTATCCGTAACGTATTTCGTGATCATGGATTAAAAGTGACTGCTAATTTAGCTACTTAGTTCATGTTCTTTTTCAGTTTAGTCGTATTTTGTCTTCATATACATTCGCTGAACAAAGTTAGGGAGTATTTATCTGATTTATCATTATTCCGATACTTCTGTTCCTTTTCAGATCCGTATCACCTTCAGTTGAATCAAAGCTACAATATTCAGCTTTAGGTCATCAGATAGAAATTATGGTTTATAGTTACATTAATCTAATATTCACCGATTGATCACTAATTCGTAGTCAGTTTTATGTTTGTTTAGTCCATAATGCTGAGAGAGTTTACTGATTAAATTGGGATGTGTTCACTTGTCCAGGCGGCTTGACACCGTGTGCACATTTTTGATGTTAGGTTGTTGAAGATAGTCCAGGGGAATCATGTACCGAGATATAACACTATTTCGAGCTTATCACGAAGGGGTACTAACAATCTTGAGGGAATTGCTGCTCCACGGACCTTTACGTTTCTTAGACTGTGGAGTTCTGTTTTCGAGTGACCTATGTAGAGCTCAAACACCGACATTGATTCATCGCTGAGCATTGGTTGATTTCACGTCTGCCTAGTCCTTAGTGCTTATTAGGTTGAGGGTCCGGATACCATGAGTATCAGGCCCCTCTCCTAAATAGTGAATATGCTGTACTAAAGAGTGTTAGTTATCACAAACCTAGGTCCAAAGGATTACCACTGACTGTCTCAAATCCCTAATATCAGAATTATACATGGTTTTTAAAAATTTCATGAAGACTGTTTATCCTGCAAAAATCAGAAACTAGTCTATCATGAAGTTTGTATTGTTTATTGCTGGTGTTAAACGGCTATGTAATTACTGGATGCTGCACAAATCAGCATGATTGCTTGAAATACCATTGCTTCTCACTTATTAGCACAGGTCTGAGTATACTTAACAATTTTTTTGTTAAAACACCATCGTTTATGAAAATTCTAGCTTTCATCGTGGTAGTGAAAATTTGTTTTCAGGTTTATTCAAATAAAAACAATACAGTATACAGAAGCTTATTTATCGCGATTACTCTAAGCATATCTACCTATGATAATTGACCTGCTCTTTGTGTGCATGAGGCGTTGCTTACTAATATTATTACTTTGTTCATTTTATGTTAGACTACAGAACAAAATGTACACAATGAAGTTGAACAAGTCTGTAGGGAGAACAGCAGTCTCTGTCAGACTGAGTTTTGCGGTCTACGGAAAGATGGAAATAACAGGGCACTTGGTCAACAAGAAAATGTATCTGGGGAAAAGAATATGTCAGCTGTAGATAACATATTTCAGGAATTAAAACAGCTAGAAAGTGTGGAATTCTTAAATTATTGCCCAACGAATGATCAATGTATTGATGTCTCAAAACAGGTTTCCTCGCAGAAGTGTCCCATTCCAACTACATGGTCTGAAATGGGTGGGTTAATCCAGTTATTAACTATTTCGGATTTTGATGTTTGTGTATGCACTGGATGGTCTGAAAACTTTTCTTTAGATGACAAAAAAGGTTCATTACTTATTTCGTATTGAGTAGCGATTCTGTGGATAAATACGAGGACTGATTAATCTGATTATTTTTGTATACCTTTCAGTTGATTCTCATTTCTCACAAATAAATGTGAGTTAACCATTTCGTTGAGCATAAATATTTTTGTGAAGGGTATTCATGTACAAAAGTATGTATATTCTGAATCGCCTAAGGTAGTGTGTCGGGTTCTTTTTAGAAATATATTTAATTTATTGAATTCTCAGTGAAGTTTAGGATTGCTAGAGATGATCACGATTTTCTAACCACTTTTTTACTTGTTACTCTCTATTTACGCTAGAATACTGATTTCTAGAGGGAGTAAATGAATCAGTAATCACTTCTATTTTCAGCTCTTATCATCCATCGTTTTCTGAAAGTCTTTAAAAATAACGTTACATTCGTGAAAACACATAGTCATGAGGGATTTAATTAGACTTCTCCACGATGTGCAAATTAAAAACAATCTTAACTTATGATTATTATGACTACTGTAACCTTTATCGCATTTAAATTACGGAATAATCCGTGTGAAGTCAGGTTGTGTTGTATTGTGCTACTGTTGTTTACTGTGTTATCATTTTTTTACAGTATTGAAATTTGATAGGTTGCCACTGTACTTGAACTTTTCAAATGAAGTCACCTTTACATTTTTGAAATATATTTTTGATCTACTGAATAACGAAGATCGATCTGAATATTTGAACAGTATCTAGATTCTGTTGTGATTCAGCATCCATATTTTGTCATATTTCAGATAATAATAATAATAATAATAATAATAATAATAATAATAATAATAATAATAATAATAATAATAATAATAAAAGTCTTTCAACTGGTTAGAAAAAACTATGGTATCATTTTTAGTCCTACTATATTAATGAACTGATAACTGAGTAAATAATTTTATCTTAGAGATGCTTTTCTTACTTACTTACCTACTTACTTACGCCTGTTACTCCACGAGAAGGAGCATAGGCCGCTCACCAGCATTCTCCATCCAACCCTTTCCTGGGCAATCCTTTCCAGCTCTTTCCATTTGTTATTCACCCTTTCCATATTTGCTTCTATTTCCCGACATAATGTGTTCTTTTGCCTTCCACTTCTCCGTCTCCCTTCACGATTCCAAGTTAGGGCTTGCCTCATGATGCAGTTTGTTGATTTGCGTAGTGTATGTCCTATCCATTCCCATCGTCTTTTCCTAATTTCCTCTTCTGATTGAAACAGGTTTGTTCTCTCCCACAGTAGACTGTTGTTGATGGTATCCGGTCAACGGACACTGATTATCTTGCGTAGACAACTGTTTACAAATACTTGTATCTTTTTGATGATGGTTGTAGTAGTTCTTCACGTCTCAGCTTCATACACTAGGACTGCCTTGACGTTCTTATTGAAGATTCTGACTTCAATATTGGTTGAAAGTTGTTTTGAGTTCCATATGTTCTTCAATTGAAGGGATGAGGCTCTTACTTTGCCAATTCTCTCATTTACGTCTGCATTTGAACCTCCTCGTTCATCGGTGCTGCTTCCCAGATACGTAAATGTTTCCACATCTTCCAGAGATTCTCAACCAAGTGAGGTTGAGTTGCTGTTCTCTGTGTTATATTTAAGGATCCTGCTTTTCCCCTTGTGTACGGTGAGGCCTACTGATGCAGAGGCTGCTGTCACACTAGTTGTCTCCATCTGCATTTGTTCTTGTGCATAGGACAGAAGAACCAGGTCATCTACGAAATCCAAATCGTCTAGTTCCACCCAACTTGTCCATTTTATTCCGTGCTTCCCACCTGATGTCGAGCTCTTCACAATCCAGTCAACTACCAGAAGAAAGAGGAAGGGAGGCAGCAAGCAGCCTTTTCTGACTTCGTTCCTCACTTGGAATGCATTTGTCAGCTGTCCTCCATGCACCACATTGCAGTGTAGTCCGTCGTATGAATTCCGGGTGATGTTGACGATCTTCTCGGACTCACCATAGTGTCGTAGGTGTTTCCATAAGGTTCTCCTATCCACACTGTCAAATGTTTTCTCATAATCAAGGAAGTTGATGTATAGTGACGAATTCCATTCAATTGATTGTTCGACGATGATCCGTAGTGACGCGATTTGGTCTGTGCACGGCCGATCCTCACAGAATCCAGTCTGTTGATCTCGAAGTTGAGTGTCTACTGAATCTTTTATCCGGTTCAGCAACACTCTGTTAGTAACTTTGCCTGGTACTGATAGTAGTGTTATTCCTCTATAGTTTTCATATTTGCTCAGATCTCGGTTCTTCGGTATCTTGATGACGTGTTCTTCTTTCCAGTCAATCGACACTTGTTCCTCCTCCCAAATCGTTTTGAATAGAGGGTAAAGCATGTTTGTAGTTACTTTGATGTCTGACTTCAGGGCTTCAGCTGGTATGTTGTCAAGTCCTGCTGCTCTCCCGCTCTTGATTTGTCTGATGGCCATTCTGATTTCTTCCGTCATTGGTGGATTGACATCTATAGAAAGATCTGTGTGTGTTGCTTCGATGTCCGGTGGGTTCATTGGAGCCGGCCTATTCAGGAATACTCTATCCATCTGTTCCGCTGTTGTTGAATTTCAGTGATTGGCCTGCCTTCTTTGTCCTTGACCGGTTTCTCTGGTTTACTATATTTTCCTGCTAGTTTCTTCGTTGTATCGTAAAGCTGCTTCATATTTCCTTCTCTTGCAGCTTTTTTCGCCATCGTTGCTAGTTCTTCCACGTATTTCTGCTTGTCGACTCTAATGCTCATCTTCACTTACTTGTTTGTTTCTATGTACTCAGCTTGTTCTTGAACTTTCTCTGTTCTGGCTCAGCTGTTTTTAGTTGCTGTTTTCTTGTTCTTTTTTTGAATCTTGTATAGGGTTCCGATGGAGATCCATTCCTTATGATGATACTTCTTTCGGCCCAGAACCTCTTGATACGTTGAAGTTAATGCTTCTTTGATCCCTTTCCAGTTGTCCTCTATAGTAGTTTTTTCTTCTTTCAGTAGATCCTGCAAGGCGTGGAACCTATTGTTGAGAGTTATCTTGAATTGGTTGAGTTTGTCAATATCTCGATGGAAGGCTGTATTGAACCTTTTTAATGCTGTTCATCCAGTTTTTTTAGCTTCAGTTTTAAATTGGCCACAACTAGGTGGTGATCTGAAGCTATATCAGCTCCTCTCCTGGTTCTCACATCTTCCGTTGTCCTTCGGAGCTTTTTATGTATGCAAATATCATCTATTTGATTCTCTGTGGTGTGGTTCGGTGAGATCCATATAGCTTTGTGTATACGTTTGTGTGGAAATATTGTGCCGCCTATGACGAATTTGTTGAATGCACACAGACTTGCAAATCCTTCCCCATTTTCGTTTGTCTCTCACAGTCCATGTCGTCCCATGATATCTTCATATCCGGGTGTTGTCTATTCCGACTTTGGCATTTAGATCTCCCATTAGAATGGTGAGGTCCTTTCTTGGGCATTTCTCTATGACTGACTGCAGCCGCTCGTAGAATTGATCTTTAATGTCGTCGTTGCTATCATTGGTGGGTGCATAACATTGATCCCCTCCTTCTTTGCTTTGAATGATACTTTGATGATTCTGGATCCGTGAGATTTCCATCCTACAAGTGCATTTCGTGCTACTTTGGACAGCATTAGAGCAACTCCCTGAGTGTGTGGAGCATTTTCCTCTTCGTTACCGGAGTATAGCAGCATCTCTCCCGTATTTAGCCTTTTCTGTCCAGCTTGGGTCCAGTGGGTTTCGCTGATTCCCAGTACTGCCAAGTTGTATCTCCTCATTTCCGTTGCTATTTGACTGGTCCTCCCGGTCTCCCACATTGTCCGGATGTCCCATGTACCTATAAAAATTGTTGCTCTGGTTGTTGTTTGTGGCTTCCGAAGGAACTCGGCTTTCACCATGAGGCATCATATTTCTTCGAAATGAAGACCTTCTAGCTCCCAGGGCAGAGTTTACATGGTATGAATTATTTTTTCTGGTTAGCGTTATTTTTAGTGAGTTAGTTTTGTAGCGGATGGGGACGCTAACCCCTTGCTCAATCCTCCTCCTTTACCCGGGTTTGGAACCAGCAGTATCTCTAGAAGAGCTACAGGAGGAGTTATGCTTTTATTAATCACAGTCAAGAATATAAGTCGTTGACAGAACTGAACTAGTGTTTTAATTTCCATCAGTCAGTATACTCTAATTGTCTTTCACAATCCATCTAATGAAATAAATAAATTTTGAATTTAAAAGTCATACGGAGTGAAGAAAATTGTATGCCTTGCTATTCATCATGCCTCAACACTAACTTAAAATAGTCTACAAAAATAATTATAGATAATTAAAGAAGTAATTCTTGAATAAAGCTGTTGGGGATGCTAGATCCCCCAAACTCATATTTTGTGATTTTATCATATCGATTAACTTATCGATTAAATGTTTAAATAGCAGTCAGTTGACGAACTTATCAATTAAATATTTGAATGGAAGTCGATTGATGAACTTATTGAGTAATATTTAAAAAAATTTACCATGACAATATCAATTATAAATATTTTTATAAATACGCTTGATTAGTGTGCCTGATTGATCTGACCTGATATCTGCTGGTTGCCTGTAGAATACACTTCTACGTCTTACCAAGACTTCTTGATCGAGTTAGCTGAGTCGGGGACAACGGACCAGAATAGCCTATTGAGTCTCTGAATCCTTGATCCTTTGTTCCGTTCCGAATAAGCCGAATCAGTAGTAGCATTCAAGCTTAACGAACTTAACAAAAGCCTAGTAAAATAATTATAGAGTTTCAAGATTAAACTGTTGAATAAACTGAGAAAGGATATGAGTTCCTCTATGTAGTTTAATAAATAAAACAGTTAGATGGGATGGAGTTATAAAAAAATGGAACAGGCTGTTAGGCTATACTACACTCAATGCAGATCGATTATCGAAAGGAAATAATCAACTAAACAACCAGTCATCAACACTCATCATTTACGAAAAAAATCAGATGAAAAATTTCAGTGGAATTAGTAAATCGAAATCTTGTGCATATAGCTTTAATTGGGAAAATCGTTTGATTAGGATGACAAACATAAAGTAAAGGAAAGCAATATGAAAATATTTTTTAAGCGCAAAACTCCTACTTGTTTGTGTGAATATAAATGGTTTATACTATATGAGAAACATTAAACCATGAAGTGAATGGAATACAATATATGACTTTTAAGGTCTCACATAACTTCGGTGCCTAATACTAGATGGATATACAGTGATAGAATTTATTGTTGTCCTAGTCTATAGTTTTTCTCAATCACAGAGAATGATGTTGAGAATAAAACGAACATTAAAAATTCACTTTGTGGCCAACTTGAAAATAATTGCTGATGTTGATTGGCGATCTTTTAAAAGCACATTTGCATCAAGTAAGATATCATTTATGTACTAATGATTTATAAAAACATTTTTCAGTGAAATTTGCTTGAAAAGAATATTTATTGAATTGTATGTCAGTAGGCTTAGTTTTGTTTATTATAAACAAGATACTAATTATGGTGTTGCTTATAGAATAATCCTACTGACAAAGTATGTTTTATATCAGTTTTCTTTTTCAAAGTATTTCAAAAACTGTAAGCTATTTCTCAGCGTTTTTTAGGTTTAAATTTGATTTTATGCGTTTAATGAATTCTTACATAATTCTTGGTTATCGTACAGAAAAAGAAAACTTTTCATTTTAATTTTTAAAGTGAACTAAATGATTACCTTGTAATATAAACTTTAGAACTAATTTATTCATCATATCATCATTAAATACATATTTTCAAAATGGGTTTTGTGGAGATTTTCTAGAAATTTCACAAGTTGAAGTCATGAGTCATTTGAAGCTAGACCACCATAGAAAACCTGGAAGCACTGGATGGCCGTTTCGTCCTAGTATGGGACTCCTCAGCAGTGCGCATCCACGATCCCGCACCCCGCGGGATTCGAACTCAGGACCTACTGGCTTCGCGCGCGAGCACTTAACCACTAGACCACTGAGCCGGCATCCAAAGGGGTTCGAATCCCGCGGGGTGCAGGATCGTGGATGCGCACTGCTGAGGAGTCCCATACTAGGACGAAACGGCCATCCAGTGCTTCCAGGTTTTTTATGGTGGTCTAGCTTCAATTGACTCATGATTTCAACTTGTGAAATACATATTCCTCTTAAAATTAATTGGTGTTTTGTAGACAATATTAGTATAAAATAGCTTGATTTTTCTTCTTTTTTAGTCAAGGATATTAGTCGTGTCCTATCTGAGGCTGAACAAGATGAAGTGCATTCAGTCAACTTCAGGAAATATTGTAATGTTCAACGATCTACAGGCTTAAAAGGTGTTCGAAATCGATCTGATTCTACATTATCCAATTATTCTTCACTTGGTCAGTCAAATTGGTCTGGTTCATCTACAATAACTACAAACAGACATACGTTCCTGAGTGAAGAGAATTTGCATTCACATACCAAGTAAAATTCTCTTGTGTTATACAACCCCCCAGTACTTGCTACAAAATATCAAATTTAATAACTGTTTTTGTAGTGTCAAGCATCTGATAATGATTTAGGTCAATTTTGTCTTATTCTGTCGAAATTAGATAGCGAAAACTAAATATAATCCTTCACCATTAGAGGAATATAATTATAATTATAAAAGTCTAAAACCAAAAGTCAGATTCAAACACTTCCCATCTTTAAAAAACCTTATTATTAGACATCATCGGTTAAAATGGTTTTAACTCAGTTTATACCCTTTAATTTACTACATCCTAAGATTGTGACAAGTATTCTTCAAGAACAGTACTCAACGTTTTTTGCCTAACTTCGTAAAATTCGATAAATCGAATTTCAATGGTGGTCTAGCCTACATCGACTCATGAATTCAATTAATTAATTACTACAATTTCCACTAAGTTAAATGTTATTTTGACTATCATTCAGAACGTATGTAAAACTAGTGAAGACCGAAAATGAAATTCATAGTTGTTCGAAACGACCATGAATAATTTTCTAGAGAAATAGGTTTACTCAATATCTGGCGGGAATTATACTTACTTAATAACAGAAAAGAATAATTAACTAAAAGATGTGATCATGTTTATAGAATCACAAAGGATTAGGAGCGTTTGGAAATTCGCTTAAACATTATGACAGTCTGAATCCATTATAATATCATCATTCGATCATTGGCGTGCTTACTGGCGGTGTACCTTTTACATCTTTTATCGTCATCATAGAAAGGGTAAAGTTTTAGATTCAAAATACTTGACTCATATTTTCCATTTTAAAATGACAGATAACCTTAAGTTTTTGAAGGGTTTTAGAACATCTGCTAAATAGTCACTGCAAAGCATAACGAATTATTCATGTTGTTGAGCATTGTAATAAAACACTTTAGAAATTTCCATAGTTTTCTATAATAAATGATTTTTTAATAGCACTATGGAATTGTCATCATATTTATGTAAGTTACAAAGTTATCTCAATGGCCTATTTTCGGTAGACATATGGAACGGGTTTGTTCACGGCAAAAGGCCCAAAAAGAACTGGATCAATCTATATCTCAATGTCGAGAAAAATTGACTACTTTCATCCAGTCAAATCATAATAATGTATGTCATAATCTTCCAGAACCAAAAGGCGGTGATACTGGTACTAATCAACACACAAAGTATTCTAAGAGTCGAAACTCTGCTACATCACAAAGACCATCTTCTGTAAAAAATCAAACAACTTCTAGATCTTTACAATGTAACTGCTTTAAGAGCCCTATGAATCTATCAAATGCTCATTTGCTGCATACAAATTCTGTTGGAACAAAAGCTGAAAGTAAATTGTCTTACAAAAGTCATATGGGGCGTAGTACACAAAATCTTTATGATAATGTATCACTGAAGGACGGAATGAAGGTAATTTAATGGCTATTCGTATTTTGACAGTCATATTCACAATGTATTTACTAAATATGGCCTGATCTGAGTGACATCTTTCATCGGATGTGTGTGAAGAAAGTGATTTAAGAGTAAATATGGTGCTAAAACTTCACTTTACTATTTACATGAGCTCTTTATCTAAAAATTGTAATAACTTCGCTTTACTTACGCCTGTTAACCCTCGTAAAACATAGGCCACCAACCAGGATTTACCAACCAACTCTACCCTGAGCACTCCTTTCCAGTTGTTCCCAAATGCTATTGATTCTTTTGATGTCTGTATCCGATTACCGGCACCATGTGTTCTTAGGTTTGTCACTTTTCCTTTCGCCTTGAGGGTTCCAAGTCAGGGCTTGCTGTGTAATGCAGTTTTGCGCTTTCTGTAGTGTGCGTCCTATCAACGTACAGCGTCTTTTCTCAATTTCCTCTTCAACTGGGAGCTGGTTTGTTCTCTGCTATAGCATGTTGTTGCTGGTTGTATACGGTCAATGGACCTAGAGTATTTTGTGCAGACAACCTTTTATAATTATCTACACTCTTTTCATGATAGTTGTCGTAGTTCCCTAAGTATAAGCTCCTTATAACAGAAATGTTTTGATGTTTGTATTGAAGAATCTTACGTTGATGTTATCTGACGGTCGGTTTTAGTTCCATATGGTCTTCACTTACAAGAGTGCCAAGCTTGCATTGTCAACCAGTGCCTTCACATCTGCGTCAGATCGGCTTTGTTCATCAATGTTGCTGTTCAGCTAGGTAAAGGCGTCCATCTCTTCCAGAGCTTCTCCATCAAGTGTGATTTGGTTGATGCTCACTCTGTTGTCTTTCAGGATCATGATTTCACCCTTTTGAATGTTGAGATCTACTGCTGTAGAGGTTGCTACAACACTGACTGTCTTCACCTACATTTGTTGCCGTGTGAGAGAGAAGACCTAGATCATCTGCAAAGTCCAATTTTTTTAGCCACATCCAAGCTGTCAATGTAGGTCTTCATAATCCAGTCAGTCAACCAACAAATGAGAGAAAGAGCGCAAGAATAAGCAGCCTTAACTGACACCAGTCTTTACTATGAATGGGTCTGTCAGCTGTCCTCCATGCACCAATTTGTAGTACAGCCAATCTCATGAATTCTGTATGATGTTGACGATATTCTCAACTATACCACAGTATCGAAGAAGGTTACTTAATGTTCTCCTATCCAATTTGTCGAATGCCTTCTCATTGTTAAGGAAGGTGATGTATAGTGACAAATCCCATCCTATTTACTGCTCAACAATGATCCATATTGTAGTGATTTGGTCTGTGCATGACCGGTCCTTACAGAATCCAGGCTGTTGACCTCGCAGTTGGACGTCTACTGAATCTTTTATTCAGTCCAGTAACACTCTGTTGGGAGCCTTCCCTGGTACTGATAGTAGTGTGATGCCTTTATAGTTCTCACACTTGCTCAGATCTCTTTTCTTTTGTATCTTGGTGATGTATCCTTCTTTCTAGTCTATCGGCACTTGTTCTTCCTCCAAATCTTTCTGAGTAAAATGTGGGGCATCTTTGAAGTTACTTCTATGTCTGAATTCAGTACTTCACCTTGTAAGTTGTCTAGTTCTTATACTTAGATACTCTTGGTTTTTCTGATAACCATGCTGATTTGTTTGATTGTCGATGGGACAACATCGATAGGAAGGTCTATAGGTGCTACTCTAATGTCAAGTGAGTTCAGTAGAGCTGGTCTATTCAAGAGTTCTTAAAAGTGTTCTGCTCAATTGTCCTGTTGTTGTTAATTCTCAGTGGTTGGTCTGCCTTATTTGTTCCTGAATGGTCGCTCTGGTTTGTTTTACTTTCCATCTAGTTTCTTCTTTGTATCATATAGTAGTCGCTTACAACTTAATCTGATGTCATTGCTAGGTCTTTCATGTATTTCTGCTCGTCGGCACTAATGATCCTCGCTTGTTTGCTTCTGTGTGTTCGGCGTATGCCTTGGCTTTCTCTACACTTGTTGGGCTGTTGTTTATTGCTATCTTCTTGTTCATCATTTCTTGAATCTTATTCCAGGATGTCAATGGAGATTCATTCCTTATGATATTGCTTGTTGTAGTCCAGCACCTTCTGACATTTTGAGTTTATTGTTTTTCGATCTATTCCCAGTTATTCTCTACGGTATTTTCCTCTTGTTTGAGTAGATCTTGTAAAGCCTGGAACCTGCTGCTGAGAGCTACCTTGAATTTATTGAGTTCGTCAGTAACTCGAAGGAACTTATGTAATGCTATTTCTACAGTTGTTCAGTGCTTCTGTGGCTTCAGTTTCATCTTGGCAATCACCAGGTGATGATCTAAAGCGATGTCAAATCCTTCCTTTTTTCACGTTTTCAATGGATCTTCCGAATTTCTTAGTGAAGAAACATGATCAATCTTGTTCTCTGTATTGTGACCCTGTGATACCCATGTAGCTTTGTGAATGCGTTTGCCGGGGAAATACGGTCCCACCAATAATCGTTTTTTCGAAGGCAGATAAATTTGCAAACCACTCACCATTCTCGTTCCTTTCTCCTAGTCAGTTCATGTCGTCCCATGACATCTCCATTCCTGTTGTTGTCCATCCATACCTTGATATTTAGGTATTCCACCAGGATGGCCAGGTCCTTTCGTGTGCAATTCGCCATGATCTGTTGCAGCCTCTCGTAAAAGTGGTCTCTATAGTCGTCATTGCTATCATTTGTGGGTATATAACATTGAGTAGCATTCATTGTGATACCCTACTTTATTTTGGAGGACGCTTTGATGATTCCAGAGCCATGAGATTCCCATCCATAGGTGCTTTATGTGCTTCTTCGGACGGCATCATAACAACTCCCTGAGTGTGTGGAGTATTTTCTTTGTATAAGTGTGCAGCAGCACCTCTTCAGAATCTATTCTTTTCTGTCCAGCTTGCGTCCAGTGGATTTTACTCTTTCAAACGTAGCCAGGTTTTATATTTACATTTCTGCAGTTACTTGACTCGTCCTCCTGGTCTCCCATACTGTTCGGAAATTTCATGTACATGTCTCAATTGTTGCTCTGGTTGTTAGAAGGGGCATTGGACTCGTGATTTCCTGATATCTCCAACCTTCACCATGATGCGTCATAACTCTTCCAGCTCAACACTGTTTACCTCCTAGGGCAGAGTTAAAATGGTTTAAATGATTTTTTTCTGACTAGTGCCTTTTAGCAAGGTCCAATTCCACGGGATATGATTGCTGAACCCATGTCTAACCTTTCTTCTTTCCTCGGGCTTAGGACCGGTAGTAATCCTAGAAGAGCTACAGGTGGAGTTAAAAATGGAAATCAGGTTGAAATAAGCTATCTTGGAGTTTGGACGAGTTTTAATTTACCATGAATTCTGTGCATACAACTCAAAAATTATATGATGAAAATCCTAGACCAGACTAATTACTATATCATTTGTCACACAACTCCTATGTTTTGCTTACTGTAGGATAAATTTTGTCAAGGAACCTACCTCCATTTATCTAGTTTTTCTAATTTAAATGTATACTTTTTAGCAGATAATTCAAAGCGACGATGGACGTATCACTACTGACAATGAATGTTTGATGTTGGAACTTGAAGAGAAAAAAGGTCAAATAAAACGCTTACAGAGAATTATAGAGCATCAAAGAGAACTGTTTTTAAGGCAGTCGGAAGACACACAGCGAGATGGTGATCGAAGAATAGAATCAATTAAAGCTGATTATGAATGTACAATTAACCGAAATTATAAACTAATTGATGAACTAATTGAAGAGAAAAAAGTACTTCATACAAAATGTGAAGAATTTTTAGAAGAACTAAAGACAGTGACAAAGAAAACGAACGAAAAAATCAAAGCACTTGAAGAAAGGTTAGTTAGCAGAAGGTGATCTTTATTGTTACTTGGCTAAGATGATTGCTGATATGATGTGATAAAAAGGCAAAATCAAATTTCGACTCAATAGCCTAAACTACAGGCCATACAACTGTCACTATTTGTTGTTCTTAAAAATGTCATTGGTACAGTGTAGTTGGTTTCTCGTAATCATAGAATTTTGCTTAATGATTTTGTTTTGATCGAATAAGAACGATCTCAATTTGGTTATCAAAAAACTACGAAACGGAACGGCTGCAACCTGTAAAACCTGCTCATGAACAATCAAATTTATACGCAATGATGGTTGAACCGTCATACAAAATGCAGAAAACGTATATGGAATGCAATTTGTGACAAAATAAAAAATAAAAATCTAAATGAAATTATGCGTGGCCTTAAAAACGGCCTTCTATCGGTCTCTTGGTTCCAACTCTACATTCATTTCTCTTCCAGGGTTTTCCATCTTCCCATTCCCGTATTTCTTCAACAATCACCTCATAAAAAAAGTAAAAAAACGTTAGATTCTCAGTTAGTAACTGAAATATGAACAAACCATTTTGCCTGTGATACCAAGTTTCGCTGCGTTCATGTGTTCCATTACACTACCTTAATCGCGCCACATATTAGACAATGGAATCCAAGGAATTGCTGTGGTGCGTCCCAACCACAAAACGAATGAAACACAGCATTGCAGCGAAAAATAATCCAGGTTCTTCCCTTAACAGTTTCACTTGGTGGCTGAGTAAGATGGCATATGTCACACAGTTCGTTGACATGAACATCTTCGTCTATGTTATTGTCTCTGTCATTGAATCCTTCTGAGTTTATTGAAACAACATCACCTTCTTCATAACTTAGCCCAGGTGCTGAGAATAATGTCGACACTGCTTGAGGCATTCTTCTGATTCTTATGGAAATGAGAGTCAGGGACCCCATAATAACAGTATGTCACCCTTTCATAATTTCTGATAGCGCTCCTTAACTCTTCAAGCTATTGGAACGCTCGAAACAATACATCTGGTACTTTGTAAGTTATTTACCTTTGGAGAAAAAATGATCACTCGAGGAATATTTACGTTTTATATTACTTTTTGGAGAATAATAATCAATAATTACCATTTTAAAACTAATTATTTCATTGGACAAAACGGGATGAAATCGTGTTTAAGATGGGATAAAAAAATCTTTGGTAAAAACAGTACAAAAATAACTGTGTGATAAATAATATTCACTATATTCTTTTATTAAATTAACGTTAACTATGCTCGGCATGATACTCAGCATATTATTTGTTATAAAACTGGGTATTTTTCATATTGTGGTGTGTGCTACTGATGTCGACCAACATAAGTAGTATGTTTCATCGATCGAAAGTGAAATGCCTAGCGACACAAGGTTAAGTTCGAAAAGAGAAGAGAACGAGAACAGAGAATGATTGGTGTGGAAACGAAGGAGCACCAAGCAACGCGAATTAAAAAATTATTAAGAGGAGTAATCGGTTTAAAATTAAGACTTGCTTTTAATCTTCACAAAGGCTTGATTAGAACCTAATGGAAGTTTTGTTTAGTCCTCATTTCGTGAGTCTAACTCTGCAGTCAACTACAAAGAAATCATTTACCTGTATAGTCAGTTCGTAACACAAGGTACTTTTTCAATACCGTGTTCATTGAAATTTTCAGAACTAAGCTCTATTTAAAAAGTTTAATATCGTTTACTCAAACAGCTAAAGCCTATAGTTTACTTAATAAAATGAACACTTGTTTACTTCAAGTACACTCCGTAATACATTCCTGTCTAAATTAAGCATTCGTTTAAATCTTGCTATTCAGATAGGTTTAAACTTGTAAGTGCTTCCACTTTTTATGTCTAATAATATTGTACATAGTCCAGGTTGAAGTATTCTCTTTAAGTTGTTAAATTTCCTTATAATTGATGAAGAGTTGAGCTTTAATTTGTGATCTTTTGAAATCTTGTAATACTAAGGTTATCTATCTAACATGGAACTATTTGACCCAACTATTCTTTGAAGATGCTGCACTTTTCCTTTCGAGATCCAACAAAACACTGAGTTTGGAACTATGTGAAGTTGTTTATAGGAATTTTACATAATAGTCCTTAGTGATTCGATTTACGACTAAATAAGTAATACAAGTATGAAGTAATTGCGTCCATAACAATATATTTGAGAGTATTTAGAGTTATTAAATCTAGTTACTTAACAAATGTTAAGGAAGTAATAACAGATGTTATTTAGGATAAAATTCGAATCGTAAGGAATGGAAAATCGCACCATAAACTAATGATTAATTTATTCTTACTAACGTTTCTGGAATTACGATGAATACAGCTACGTAGAGATAAACAGGTTTAGCGCAGTATAAGATTTTTTATACGATGGTTCTACAGTCAAAATACCTGGAAATGCACAACTATCAAAATGTATTGATCATAAACTAGACTCAAAGTTCACGTCTATCACTTTTAAGCTATATACTGATGCTTTTCCAAACTGTTGCATATCTGACTGTATGATATAATTTGATGATTATTGGATGTTTCTCTAATCTGGGTAATTCTATCTACCTTATTAATATGATTACCAACGAAATTTCAATGCATAGATTGCCAATGTGTCCTAATTTTTTATCCGTAGCCTAAACTAGACATTCATTCATCAAAGCATGAATGTTTCAGCGATGTTTGAACGAAAGAAAATCTTTGAAAATATAAAACTAGAATATATCTCTTTGTCGCCTATAGTTGACAATTAATAAAAGAAGTGTATATAGTTAATTCACGGAATATAAAAAAACTGTAGAAATTTTATTAACGAAAACTATTATAGAAAGGCTAAATTTATCGGTTACAGCCAATAAAGTTCACATAAGTAGTGTTTTCGATTATCTTTTAACTAGACACAAAGTCGAGATGCGAAAAGTAGAGGCCAAACATTTAGCTGCGGAAAAGCTGCGCCGGGAAAAGTGGGAGACAGAAAAAGCAAAACATTTTAAAGTGAGTAGTTTTTTGTATGACCTTTATTGCATTTATCTGCCAATATACATCGCGTTATGTTACATTACCTACAATATTATAGAAGTAATTCACAGTAATGTTTTAAGTGTATGGAAAGCGGTTAGAGATAGCATTCATCGTGAATGTGTTAGAGTAATGCTGACGCGTGTTTACTGATGATGATTGAGTGTTCTTTAAATCTTGGTATCTGATCATTAAAAGGTCCTATTATTACTCCAGATAACTGTTCACTTCATTTCAGAAGTATACAAAGAGGAAAGTCTGTAAAATATAACCTGTATACAATTTGATATAGTGCTTTAAGTCTGTATGGATTAGATGCAAAGGTCTTTCATGTGTTCGAATAAAATAAGCAGTTATTTTTTATTGACAGTTATCATATACTTTTTTAAAGAAATAGCTCATTTAAAGTAGTTGCTCGTTTTCTTCATTTTCCCTTATTCTACATATGATCAGTGTTTTATAAGGACTATTTAACTAAGAGATCCAAGATATCAGGGAATTTTAGTTAAACTTTATTATCTATTCACATTTGCAGTACTGACAAGTTATTCAATGGCTATCCATATTGGTGCTAAAAAGTTTATATTGGATATGATTATAAAGTAATTGAATGTATTTATGTTTAGTTATGCATAAAAAGAAATTAAAAAATGGATATCCTGATTCACGACACTGAGGTGGTCGGAAATCACTTAATAAAAATTCCAAACGCTTTATAGTAGCTGATACTATATCAAACCTAAATACGATATTCTAGCTTCTCAACAGACTACTTTATTCATTCTTCTTAAACTACATTTTGACCTTGTCACTTATTCGGTTATTAACCCTGACCGTTTATATATGGTCGTACGTGTGCCAATTACTTATCCTATTTATTAAGTGTCTGTAACATATTTTTGTCTGAATATAAATATTGATCAATACGAGTTAGTTAATTCGCCTTATCCACTGAGTGTCATTTCGTTTTGCTTCGCTCTCTCCTCTACGCTTCCTTCTCTTAGTTTCTTGATTGTTTGTTCAGATCAATGAGTGTACAAAATATACGTATTCAAACTCCATTCTCGCATTTGACTTATTTAATTCCGTTATTCATCAACGCGATATGAGTCGATAATTGTATATGAGGATTATATATATGTATATTTTCGATAACAACCATCATACGATCCAGTTGGAGTCATATGATCAGCCGCTAAAAATCTACATCTTACAAGCCAAATTTAGTTTGTATTTTGGTTTAATTTTCGAGACATCCGGGTGGACGTGTTTTATTTCTTACCGGAAAATAATTCCGTAGATCATTTTATTCACTTTTTAATCAAACTGAATACATATTCATAAATGTTCGTGTTTCATTCAGGAAGTGGGGGATAACTTTATGAAACGTCCACTGATACAATAAAACTTTTATCATGGAGATAGTTTACCTACACAAGTATCTATGGAGTTAATTTATAAATGATTTGCATTTTGTTACTATTCACAACATAGATTATAAAGGACAAGTGATGAACAGAATCAAATGAGAATTTGAGCATAATTGAATTCGCTCGTATTTTATATAAGGAAAAGGGTCATATCTTGATATTTTCCTGTATTAATTTCATTTTGGTTTAATAGGAAGTTACTATTCGTGGAATGGAAAATGAAGTAGCCCAAATGATCACAAATCACAAGGCTGAAATGGCAAGTTTGCGTCAGTCATGCACTCAACAAATTCAAGCAGCTGATGTACGCGCCTATCAAGCTTATATTAGTCACATTGAAGAACTAAAACAGACGTTGATAAAAGAAAAAGATGAAGCCTGCTGTAGAGAAAGAGAACTTGTTGAACAACGGTAGTTAGATAGCCTTTTTGTAATTACTAATACTTTCTTATTGAAGTCTCAAATCGAACAAAGTTAGACAACCATTAAAAACCTGGAAGTAATGGACGGCCATTTTGTGAATGTGTATTAGAAACTCATTTTAAGCAAGAACTATAACTATTACTGCCGGTTTTTTTGTTTATGTGAATTATGTGATCTTTTGTGAGACAAATTTAAAAAGCTGAGATTTCCAAATTTTTTTTTACCTAAAAAGGATGTTTTAATAAATAGCAAACTGCGATCATAAGATTATTATTTTGGTATACCTTCAGGTGGGTTTTGGTATAGTTAGAATATGATATGGACACTCAAGCTCCTTTCATGACTAATTCATTTCCGCTACTGTAATCGCCTTTGAACTATCAGACTCAAGGCTCTCAATCAACGATTACTGGCATTTGATGACACCAAACCAGAAAGTCTGTATTCTGAGAATTCATTTGATGGAATTGGTCAGGAAGTTGATAAGCTAGTAATTTTCGACCGAGTTATAGTATACAATTTGTAGAATATTACTGCCTACAGAGCCGGAGGGTTTCAGCATTATTGACATGCAATTTTGCTTGGAGATTTATTTGCTCATTTGTATCATTCAATCTGGAACTCGTTCTATACCTATAGATCTTTCATGAGTTTCAGTCACGAGACAAGTGTGAGATATTTCATTCTTTATTAGTTAGCTATCTGTTATGAACTATCTGATGATACATAACCGCCTGAATTATGTTAGCCTAAGTTTACTTTAAGTAGATATAATGATTTGTTAATTTTGTCCACATTACAGTACTCTCTTCATAGGTGCAGCTGGATGATGAGATCGTTTTTATCAATTTTATCGGTAACCCTATTCAGTTAAATTAATTTACGAAAGTTTTCGATAGCATTGTTTGTCAGGTTATTCATTGTAATAGCTCAATCTCTTATTGCTGCTAACACTATGGTGTTATTCCGATTTCGACTCCATTTTTATCAGTACGTAACAATGAACTAAAACGAGGCTGTGAGACCATTTTCAGCCAACCTATATCTTCTTTAAGCACGTATCCATTATCAGTAATGGTTTAACTTAAACAGTAAAATTACTTAGTCATCTTTATTAGTTTCTTTCTTTATGTTATTAGGTTTATAAATACTGTTCCGCATAGGAAGATTTACTCATCTTAAAGATTTTAAAATACAGAATTTCGCTTAATTGTAGATTAAATCAAACTTTAGCAGAAGAACGTAATTCTTTGGAAGCCCATAGACGTAGATTGTTAGATGAGATTTCTGATGAACGTGAAAGATTGGCATTGGCTGCATCTAAACAAAGGGCTGAAATGGATACTCTTAGGAACAATTTAGAAGTTGCCTTGACACAAGCTAACGAACAACATAAAATGGAAATTGAACAATTAAGGGCGGATTTGATTCAAAGACATAAGGTCAGTTTTTATTTTATACGTATAATATTATTGCTTCATGGTTATTTATTTTATATTCTTGATCGAAATTCAAGCAATAAGGAATTTAGCAAGTACCGTTGACTGATTTCATGTAACAGATGAGAACAGAGAATGCTTGGTCATCTTTATTCAATTTATTTTCTTCCATTAATTTAAAATGACATATTTATGTCGAAAATTTCAAACTAAGTGGTTCTTAGGATTCTTAACGAACAACTGTCGATCAACTAAAAAGTTCTAAGTAAGACGTTCTTCTTGCTGAGTTAGCAAGACTTTGTAATAAAATTTCACTAGGGATATCTTAAATTATTTGAAGATGCAGACCAAAAGTTCTTCGGTTATTAGATTGGTTGAGAAATGCCACGAGGGATAGGTCACTATGTATATCCTGAGAATTACTAGCACTAAACAGCCTAGAGAAATCCAGTAATTGTCGTCCTTGTTTAGAGTTAGTTAACAAAACTGTTCACCGAATAATACAAAAATGCTCTGATAAACATCCCGTAGCTGAGTACCCTGGTTATACTAATGACACAAACTTTTCAGAGACTCTTGGATTTCCACGATTTCTTACAAGTTATTTCTCAGTTGTTTATGGAAGATTTATCATATATTGCAGTCATTCTTCTTCGCTGTGAACAAGTTAGAAAGTCTTTACTATTTTGATTGATCCATGTTTCCTGTGAGGAGTGTGGTGGGGAGTAAAATTTATAAATGCATTCGTTATTGACTATTTTTTAAAATTACTCATATAATTGGTTTGATCTCACTTTCTGAGTATGTGATTCAAACCAATCAGTTAATCACCCTTAGACCAAAACCCACCGATTTTAATACAATCTGGATAGTTAAATCCTATGGTCAACCGGTGGGTTTTATCGGATTGCACAAGCTGTAGTTTAATTTTTTTTAATTGTCTCAACCGGTTCAGCTCTTTTTGAAAAGTGAATTTTTTAAGTAACTAAAATGTAATTATTGCTGAATGAAAATGAAAAATAATCACGGGAAGACAGAGTATGAGTAAAGGATCTCCTCAATGATGAAAATCTAAATGATCATAAATAAATAAGGTTTTAAACAAGTCTATACTGAACGCTTGTTCAAATAAGTTCAACAATTGATTTTTTTATAATGAGATTGTGAATCACTTAATATGGAACATCAACAGAATATTGCAAATGAGGTGGGTGTTCTTGTTTGCTATTAAAATTAAGAATTCAGTGAACACAAAGCTTTTGGATATGAAAATAGTAATAGTTTTGTGTTTTATTAAACTTTGAGTACATATGACTAAATTGATCTCATCGACGTATCTATTGAAAGGAAACAGTAGGATAGTGTGCTGTGATATCAATTAAAATTAACTGAAAATATATACATTGTTTACCTATTCAAATAATTAATTTCATACATCCCGTTGTACATTCTTATCATACAGAAAACCAACGTTTGAACGTGGTTGGACAAGAATTTAGTATAGGCTGTCTGTGAGATTAATTCGAAAATGCTCTTTACATCTATTAACACTGAATATTGGAAGACATATTTTCGTGAGAATGAAAGATTTTAACCTTGAGAATTATGATTTGGTATAATTTTACTAAACAAAACCATAACTGTTTTAATTATTATTCAGCATTATTATACTCTGAATAAAATAATAATCACTTTTCTTGCATTATTAAACTTAACACGTAAATGTAATGATTTCTAACTAACCAATTATAACATAGCCTCAGATCACCACCTAGTTGTGGCCAATTTAAAACTGAAGCTAAAAAAACTGGATAAACAGCATTAAAAAGGTTCAATACAGCCTTCCATCGAGATATTGACAAACTCAACCAATTCAAGATAACTCTCAACAATAGGTTCCACGCCTTGCAGGATCTACTGAAAGAAGAAAAAACTACTATAGAGGTGTTATGACTGTGAAAATTGTTGCTGATTAAGGGGTAGCGAATTATTGATCGGACCAAAGACGCACAAACACGTAGAACGACCTAGGGTTCTGATTGGTCCCGCTTCCCTATCTAACCCAGCCAGTTAAGTCCAGAACACAAGTCACAGCCTTGGATATATGAATCATTATATTTCAAACATACTTTGTTTATATACCAGTCAAGCAGACCACAACTTACCATAAAATAGAAAATAACATTGTACAATAATGGCCAACAGGAAAATAACACGTTAAATAAATCTTGACCGATAAGATGATACCATTTCATGTCCAAGGATAGCATTAGGCTTAACAGGATAATTTTTCGGATATGTTCCTGAATATCCCAACAAGAGGACAACTGGAAAGGGATCAAAGAAGCATTAACTTCAACGTATCAAGAGGTTCTGGGCCGAAAGAAGTATCATCATAAGGAATGGATCTCCATCGGAACCCTATACAAGATTCAAAAAAAGAACAAGAAAACAGCAACTAAAAACAGCTGAGCCAGAACAGAGAAAGTTCAAGAACAAGCTGAGTACATAGAAACAAACAAGTAAGTGAAGATGAGCATTAGAGTCGACAAGCAGAAATACGTGGAAGAACTAGCAACGATGGCGAAAAAAGCTGCAAGAGAAGGAAATATGAAGCAGCTTTACGATACAACGAAGAAACTAGCAGGAAAATATAGTAAACCAGAGAAACCGGTCAAGGACAAAGAAGGCAGGCCAATCACTGAAATTCAACAACAGCGGAACAGATGGATAGAGTATTCCTGAATAGGCCGGCTCCAATGAACCCACCGGACATCGAAGCAGCACACACAGATCTTTCTATAGATGTCAATCCACCAATGACGGAAGAAATCAGAATGGCCATCAGACAAATCAAGAGCGGGAGAGCAGCAGGACTTGACAACATACCAGCTGAAGCACTGAAGTCAGACATCAAAGTAACTACAAACATGCTTTACCCTCTATTCAAAACGATTTGGGAGGAGGAACAAGTGTCGATTGACTGGAAAGAAGAACACGTCATCAAGATACCGAAGAACCGAGATCTGAGCAAATATGAAAACTATAGAGGAATAACACTACTATCAGTACCAGGCAAAGTTACTAACAGAGTGTTGCTGAACCGGATAAAAGATTCAGTAGACACTCAACTTCGAGATCAACAGACTGGATTCTGTGAGGATCGGCCGTGCACAGACCAAATCGCGTCACTACGGATCATCGTCGAACAATCAATTGAATGGAATTCGTCACTATACATCAACTTCCTTGATTATGAGAAAACATTTGACAGTGTGGATAGGAGAACCTTATGGAAACACCTACGACACTATGGTGAGTCCGAGAAGATCGTCAACATCACCCGGAATTCATACGACGGACTACACTGCAATGTGGTGCATGGAGGACAGCTGACAAATGCATTCCAAGTGAGGAACGGAGTCAGAAAAGGCTGCTTGCTGCCTCCCTTCCTCTTTCTTCTGGTAGTTGACTGGATTGTGAAGAGCTCGACATCAGGTGGGAAGCACGGAATAAAATGGACAAGTCGGGTGGAACTAGACGATTTGGATTTCGTAGATGACCTGGTTCTTCTGTCCTATGCACAAGAACAAATGCAGATGGAGACAACTAGTGTGACAGCAGCCTCTGCATCAGTAGGCCTCACCGTACACAAGGGGAAAAGCAGGATCCTTAAATATAACACAGAGAACAGCAACTCAACCTCACTTGGTTGAGAATCTCTGGAAGATGTGGAAACATTTACGTATCTGGGAAGCAGCACCGATGAACGAGGAGGTTCAAATGCAGACGTAAATGAGAGAATTGGCAAAGTAAGAGCCTCATCCCTTCAATTGAAGAACATATGGAACTCAAAACAACTTTCAACCAATATTGAAGTCAGAATCTTCAATAAGAACGTCAAGGCAGTCCTAGTGTATGAAGCTGAGACGTGAAGAACTACTACAACCATCATCAAAAAGATACAAGTATTTGTAAACAGTTGTCTACGCAAGATAATCAGTGTCCGTTGACCGGATACCATCAACAACAGTCTACTGTGGGAGAGAACAAACCTGTTTCAATCAGAAGAGGAAATTAGGAAAAGACGATGGGAATGGATAGGACATACACTACGCAAATCAACAAACTGCATCATGAGGCAAGCCCTAACTTGGAATCGTGAAGGGAGACGGAGAAGTGGAAGGCAAAAGAACACATTATGTCGGGAAATAGAAGCAAATATGGAAAGGGTGAATAACAAATGGAAAGAGCTGGAAAGGATTGCCCAGGAAAGGGTTGGATGGAGAATGCTGGTGAGCGGCCTATGTTCCTCCGTGAGGAGTAATGGGAGTAAGTATGTACTTGGAATAAACTTACGAGACAATAGCGATGACTACACTTTAATATTAACAATCTATAATCATCGATTTTATTGTTCTGGTTACAAACATTTCCTTTAGCCGGCTAAAATAATTTCTTGATTGATTAGAGGTTACAGATGAGTAAGAGCATATTCAAGAAATTTTAGTGCACCGGAAATAATTTCCATAGGAGACATGATACTCTCGAGTCGAAGGACCATCTGGGAAGGGTATATGCTTGCATTACCAAACATTTGGTAAGATGGAAGGTAATGACACAAGACTACCTGGTCCTTATCAACATTTTGAGTCCATCATTACTTCACTAAAATTGGATTCAAGTTTTTTGAAAATGTTTTCGTCCGTTGCCTTAAAATACGTGTACACTTGTTGTGAACAGTCGGAAACTATTATTTAGGAGAAAAATGTGTCCAATCCATAAAGTTTTCCATAATCTGTTCCAGACTGGCACAACGGTCTATACTTTATTTTTAAATAGAAGAGCAAATCTACCTAAAACAACTGTAAGATTCCCCAGGGACTTCATTTTTAACATTTGAATAGGTGTGAATTCCTATTTATATACATCACATAACTGAGGACAAAAATTCTTAAAAATGTCAAGTAAATAAATTGCTTCTCCCTCCCCCTCTTTTTATTTACTTATAAGGATGAAATAGCTGAGTTGAATCAACGTAATTTGGCTGAACGTACAGCATGGGAAGAACATACTAAGTCATTGTTGGAATCCCAGTATACTTCTAGAGAGACTATACTGAAGGAACAGCTCAAGAAAGAACGAGATCGCTTGTTAGAATCTGCAGTTCAACGTCTTGAAGCTGAAGCAAATGAAGCAAGGTTAGAAACTGATCGTCAAGCAGAACTGAAGGTGAAGTAAGTTCACATATTTAAACCACTTCAGTTTACTTCTTCTTTAATTCAGACGTGTACGTGAAAAATTCCAAGCTGAAATAGAGGAACTTGAAAGATCAGAGAGACAAGCAATGGAGAAATATTGTCTGATGAAGGTCTGTAAAATTTTTGCACTCTAAAATCTGTGATTATTATTGGTTTATTTGAAACCTGTTGATGAATTAGAAATTTACGTTCACCGACTGATAAATATCCGTATACTTTTAAACCAGATACATTTTATTTGTGAACTTTAACTTTTCAGTTCGATAAAGAATTCAACTCATTGTTGGATGCAAAGATTTTTGTGACCAAAGACTACTTTCCATATTAGCAAACTACTTGCAACAGTATTTTATAAATACATTACAGTAAACATTTATCTCTTGTATTCATCTCTTTATAGACTCAATTTTTAGATAAAGAGCATGAAGCAGATAGACTTCGGTCACAGTTGACGCAGAAAGATCAGGAGTTAGCTGAAGTTCGCGTATTATACGAAAAACTTAATCAAGAACGCCAAAACATTTCAGATGTAATACGTCAGGAATTTGCTGATCGCCTTGTTTATGTGGAAGAAGAAAATAGGTCGATGAAACGTGAGTTAGCCGAAATGAAGGCCCGTTTAAAGGCTGAACAAGAAAGACATGAAAAAGAAATTGATGCTATTAAGAAATTGAACAACTCAGAAATAGAAACAGTTCACCTAAAGTAATGGCAAACTTTGATTTTGAGTTTCCTTGTTTGTTTTTTCCATTTTTTTATAGCCCAATTATTTCATGTCATTCATGAGACCTGATATTAGATGCTTGGAAAAGTCCTAACAAGGTGCTGTACCATAAACTTCGGTGATGAGTTAGTAGTAGCTTTTATTCTGCAGCACTTATAACTGAGGAACATTGGTTTTTAAATTTTATATTTTTGTTAGGTTCCAACTTTGCATGAAGTGAAAATATTTGTATTTGCATTTTCTCGTTGTTGGTATAAAGGACACCTACTGGTCAAATTCTCTTAAGATGTGTGCACCTTGAGGGGGCTGCCTCAATATTACCTTTGTCTCAGAATTTAGTATGTTTGGTTGCATATTTGACCTATTACTTGGATTTATTTACATTAATAATGGGATAATACAAACTCCTAAAAATGAATTCATATATGTTGAACTGGGTTAATTGAATTTAGTAGCTTATTGGACAAGCCTTTGAAATTTAAAGCAATACATACTGGGTTCGAGTCCTAGTCTGAACATCCAGGCTGGGATGCAAGTAAATCCTAATGGCGAACCCCAAATAGGACGAAACGCGCAGCTTGGATTTCACTGCAGCCTACAACTCAAAAAGTGAAAATAGTTTACTCAATGAGATTAAACTGTTAGAAGTAAAACTTTCTTGTTTTTTATCTAAAATAATACAACCAATTGTTTTACAAACTGTGCACCGCCAATTGTTTTGAGTATACCTTGCATTTATAACTGTGTGTTTGTAAAGCGGTTGGAACTCAATGTTCCACATAGAATGTAGTTTTAAAAGTGAACAACAAAAACTGTATCCGTAAAACAGACAAAATTTTCCTTCTTACCCTTTATAGAATTAAAGAGATCATTAAAAAGAAAGAGGAAAAATTCGCCATATTGCGAGAAAGCTTTCAAAATGAACTTGAGAAGAAGGATCGTGAATTGGACGCAGCCAATCAGAGAGCTCAACATTTGGAAGAGTTGATAGACCATCAAAGCAAACAGTTTCTACAAGCCAATCGCTAATACTTTTTAATAAAAAGTATTTTGAAGATTTTTCACTTGAAAATACCCAATCGTTGCTTAATTATCTCTACCATGGCAACCTTGCCTACCAAGTTTTTAAATTAAAAACTGCTGCATGCTATAGGTTTTTGATTATAGCATTCTACGTTATTTCTAGAACAAAAAATCATTCTAATAAGCCTACCGACCAAAATATTTTAACTCGAAAACTGATCCATTCCTTTTACGTGATTACTGGCCTGTATAGCTTTCAATAAAAAGCACCACAACAGTGAAATATGAACATTTAGTTATTTACTGGACAGATAACTGGAAAAACAAGTATACAAATATAACTCTACACAAAAATTTTTGGGTTTAAGGTTTCACACGTCGTATGAGAATAGGAAATCAAAAAAAGTGAAAAACAAAATGAAATAAACCGTTTTAAGTTCGGGAAAATATAAATGTAAGGAAGAAATAAACTACCACTTACTAATAGTTCTATTATTATCAAACCCGAAATGAAAATTCAAAGAGGAGTCTACTTACTTAAGTAAAAGCAGAGAAATGAAACCAACTGTTGATTTTATGAAATAAAATATACTCGCACACGTTTTAAGTTTATATTTTCATGCTCCCAGTATGTCTTGGAAAATAAGACGATTGCTTTGGATGTTCAGTTCTTAGTAAAAAAACATGAGGGTTCTAGAAAAATAAAGTAGTCCAAGATACTGTGTGAAGTCAAATAATGTTTACTCCACTTCTGTCACATTCATAAAGTGTACCTATTTTTAACAAAAACCTAACAGAACTCATAAAATAATACCACCATTTTCAGGTTTGGCTTTACTACTTAACATAATAAGCCAACGTTCATAAACGTTTGGCGACCCAACGTCAACATAGTCATTAAAAATAATTTGAATAGTCATGTTAGACAGTTAGAACTTATCAGTATTGGGGGATATGTGATTATAGAATTTTCATAATTTGAACCACAGACGGATAAAAGCTAAGCATTAAAACCGTTTAATGTAGGTTCAGTGATCTAGAGACAGTATTTGCAATCGACAATTAGGGTCTTTAGTTCGACTTTGGCATGCGAGGTCAGAGAAGTGAACTACTGTGATCTTCCACATTAGGAAAAATTGACCGTTCAATGCTTCTAGTTTTCAATGGTTGTCATTTCGCGATTCAAAGCATGAAAATTAAAAATCAGATTATCACATTTTTATAGTTTAAGAGTTTTAGGTCCATGATCAAATAAATGTAAAAGCACACGACAAATCTCAAGGTATCATGATAAGCTATGTGTGCTGATACTTTTGGAAACTAACGTCACTCTGTGTTTCTAATCCTGTCCGTCAGTCAGTTAGTAAGATATAGATGAGTACGATATTTCTTAAAAACAATTAGAGGAGGGTAACTGTTTCTCAGCGAAAGACCTATGCGAACTAATGTACATCAGCACACACAAAACACAGTTTAAATAATCACACAAGATCCAATACAAATCAAATAACACATAATAAACCCTTCTTGCCTAGACACGCTCTGATGATAACCCAACTGTTGTTTCTACCTTGAAGTTGTGGCCGGTCTCGCCTATCGTGACGAAATAATCGGGCTACACTGGCTGAAGCAACCGTTCTTCAAGATCTTACCATTCAGGGCAGATCACTTGAAGAGCGGTAAAACTTAAATCAACAGACCCAAGGCCCGAGGTTGAAGCCGTACTCCGACTGTACAAAGGTGTGACGGTAGTATGGTGTATCCTTCAGACAATCAGAGCAACAGCGATGCTGCCCTCCCACAAGGAAGGGTGGGCTAGAAAAAGTCGACTCTAACAATGCACACCTCACATTGTCCCATATATTTCCGTTTCCAGTGGTAAGGTCTCAACATGTATGAAGCTAACACAGAAATACCCACAAGCAGATCATGCGTGATCGGTCCCAAGCAGTTACCTCTTGGGCATTATATTCACGCTCTCAGATCACTAAGAATAACTCTAACACAATTTCACCCTATCTCAAATAGGCCAGCGGGTCTCCTTGACTAAGACCCTAGGATTTCGTGCCATTGATGTATGCTGAGTCTCTGAAGCACGCATATAGGACCCTTGTTCGTCATTCACTTGACCTCACCTCGCCAAAACAGAGAGACGACGAGATGCACTGACTGCTTATCTGGCGACCCGATAAGTAGTTCTCGTGGACTGGTGGGTCTAGGCATAACACTACGTACGAGGGCAGAACAAGCGCTATTAAAATGGACCCCCATTAATAGTCGCCTATGTGCTGTTCGACTAAACGACTCGGTAAGAACTCGGAAGGATAGGCACACATGTCGTTGCTTTTTTGTCGTTTCTGCCTACACTCCCACTGACAGATGCCCGGATGAAGTAAAAGATGGCTTTTACAAAAAGCTTTCTGAACTTCTTTAAAAAGCTAAACACTCAAACATAGTACTCGTAGCAGGTGACTCTAATGCCAAAGTCAATAGCTTAAACCAAACCGAAAGAGCTTTAGGCGGGTATTTTAGTATTCTGGCCCAGCGAAAAAATAATGGTGATCGTCTGCTGCAGCCGATCGTTTATTGTTAGCAAGCACTAATTTACTTATAAGGAGAGACACTGTCTATCATGGCGGCGACCACATGTATCAAACCAACAATTGACTCAAGTAGACCATATTGCCATCAGTCGTCGTTGGGATTCTCGATATAAGGCTGCCACTCATTCTGGAATATACATTTACACTCTGATCATGCTCTAATACGAGCACGAATTTGCATTCGCCTCAATCGACACAGACAAATCGCACTACGAAGACCCATTAGAATTGAACTCAGTGACAAGAAAGCCAAAAATAGATTCCAGGAATAACTGAGGTCGCGCTTAGGTAGTTCTGAAAACGAGGCTGACCGAGACGTTGCTTCGAAAGATGTCCGAACAGCTGTGGAAATAAGAGTGACATCTATTAGTGATTCAAAGCAAAGGGTTACAAAACACCAATGGATTTCTACTAAGTCTATTTCACTGATAAGTTCTCGTAAACTCATCTCATCAGGCTCTGAACACGATGATGAGCGAAAACGAATCCGATCTAGATTAAGCAAAAGTCTAAGGAACGAACGTCAGTAGGGATGGGTAGCTAAAGGAAAAGTTATGGAAAAGGCCGAGGCTGTAGGTAACACGAGACACCTTTTCAGACTAGTAAAAGATGCTGGAATTAGTAGGTCAAGTGTAAGTGAGACGAACTCGGATAAACACGATACTATTATCTGCTATCAGCCCAGACATTTAGAACGATGGGCGGAGCATCTTTAAGAGCAGTTCGGCTGGCCTTCAGCTACTCTACAACTACCCTTCACTCCCAAACAGCTTGAATGGAACATTGAAGTAGGTCCCCCAACTCTAGCTGAAGTTCAAAAGGCTAATAGTTAATCTGAAACGAGGAAGGGCAGATGGCCCAGGTGGATTGGCTCCAGAGGTCTTTAAGGATGGTGGTCCAATTTTCGTGATTAGGTTGACTAATATTTTAGCTAAGATCTGGGAGTTAGACGTTATCCCATCTGACTGGTCACAATCACTTATCGTCCCATTACATAAGAGAAAGTTAAAATCATCCTGTGACAACCATAGAGGGATTATTTTAACTAATAATAGCCTTAATAATTGATGAAAAATTCCCATTATATTAAAAAAACACAATTGTATAAACAAAGAATATTTTCAATAATTTCTCATCAGGTTCTACAATTATAAATCCAGATTAATAATCCATAAAATTGGCCAGATTTAAGGCAAACTACATCATTTGGAAATTGTATTATGTGAATCAGGAATTGTTTGCTATATAAATAAAATTGTTAATGTTGGGGCTGGCTAATATAAAGTGTTAACTTGAATCAGACGCCTAACTAAGACTCGTGAACTGCAAACACGAGAGAATCAAGCTGGCTTCAGACCTGGTCATGGCTGCATCGACCATATATTCACCATTCGTCAGGTTCTAGAACATAGGCATACTTATCGACGTCCGACAATGGTGGTCTTTCTTGACTTAAAAGCAGCGTTTGACTCTGTAGACCGCGAGATTCTGTGGCAGTGTCTGTCATCGAAAGGCGTACCTCAGAAGTACATAAACCTTGTAAAGGCTCTTTACTTGAACACTACTAGTAGAGTGAGAGCTTATGGCGAACTGTCATCTGCTTTTGCAACCTCAAGCGGCATCTGTCAAGGCTGTCCACTTTCTCCATTTTGTTTAACTTCATCATAGATCTACTGATGGAAATAACATTCTCGTCGACTGAGTTCTCGGGTATTAATCTCCTTCCAGGAGGTCTACTTATCGACTAAGAATACTCAAATGACATGGTCCTGTTTGGTGAAGACGCTGATAAAATGCAAAATCTTTTGGTGATACTGAGCAACAATGCCAGGATGTTTGTGAAGCGTTTCTCACCCTTCAATTGAAAGATGTTACTCCAGGATTGGTCTGCGTCGATATCTGAACTAAGGATAGGGAGTGAAGTAGTCGAACGTGTAGACAACTTCACTTATCTTGGAAGTTTGATCAGCCGTAATGGGTTGGTGCCTGAGGAAATCTCTGTATGGATACAGAATGCTCGTTTGACCTTTGCAGTTATACGTCACCTATGGCAAAGGACGAGTATACTGCTCAGCAATTCGTTCTAATCTATTTTACGGCTGCGAAACGTGGCCATTAAGAGTAGAAGATACTTGTAATCTTCTAATATTTGATCACAGATGTCTTATGAATATTGCCAGCATTTGCTGGGGTTACCGGGTAAATAATAGTGGGGTTAGACGCGGGGTATTAGGGAATGATGGTAAATGAGTTGATGAGGTTGTAAATCTTTGTCGGCTTGGATGGTTGGCAAAGTATTACGCATGCCCAACCACCAATTACCACTGTGCGCTTGACTATCATAACCAATGATTATAGACTCTGTGTGACTTGCTCAGCATCGATCACAATGTCGTTGGTGTA